AGTGCAGTGAAGGCGACGAGAATGACTCTCACCAAAAGGCGGTTGAGAGCAGGCAAGCTGAGGGCAGAGAAGGGCGAGAGCTCCCCAGGCAGCGCTCCAGGGATGGCCTCATGGCCGGAAAGCGGCACCTCAGGCAGGACCATGGGAGCAGAGGCTGGGGACTGACTACCTGGCCTGACACTGGCCTGGCAGCAGCAGAGGACAAGCGGAGACAGGGCTGCAAGTGACCACCAGGCCAGTGGGGGGCGGTATTTCGTGCGAGCGGCAAGAACATGTACCTTGAGCTTCAGGAAGGGAAATCTAGAAGTATGAAAGCTGAGGAGGAGCCCAGAGCATGTAAGACTTCAATGAGAAGAGGCTCGGATTCGGCACCAGAAATGAATAGAGACTGCAAGGACCCAGAATGGGGGACACTGCACAGGTCTCGGCAAAACAAGCCCCATCCGTCCCTTTTTGTGGTCTCCTGGTGGAAGGTTGTCTGAGAGTTGCAGTGTTAGAGGGCTCGACTTTAACAGGCAGCGGAGCTCATCTACACCTCAGAGCAACCATCCCACCGTGGCCTGGAGCTCCACATAGAGCTCAGCCTGCTGGGCTGCTTCCAGCTCATCACAGAACTGCAGCAGGTGCTCCTGCCCAGCGCGGGACAGCTGGTGTCTGAGCTCACTGACGTTCATGACGCCCTGGTGCCAAGCTGTGTGGAAAGAGGTGTGATTTTTTGCGTCTAGGATCCTGCAAGGAAAAAAAAAAATCAACAGCAGGTCAAAGTCCAGCCATGAAACTGGTAGGTTTCCCCTGTGATAAACAAGTGCATTAAACACACCTGATGGAAAGACATGAACTTCAGCCTTTGCCTCACGGTCCCTGTAAGACCCCAAAGTGGTAAGATAACACTGAGCGTCGCATGCCAGGCACTGCACTGAACACTTCACCCACGTGGACTCACTCGGGTGGCGAAGCTGGAACAGGAGCCCAGACAGACTGACTCCCGGCACACATGCTACCCTATGGTTATCTCCTCTGTATGGTTCCTCTGACCACTCAGCCGTCACTGAAAGAGTGCCAGACAGCCTAATATGTCATGTCCTCCTTTTCCCTCTAGTGACAGCAATAACTCTGTTGTATTCAGAATACAACAAAATCCAAAACGGGGGCCACATATAATCAATTTCATATCAATCATAACTTCTGCAAAAAAGAGGTAAAAACATGTACATTATCTTTACTAATAATTGAACCCTAAGGGGACAAGCAATACACAGAACTACCAATGGATAAATGTCTTGAGAGCATTCCGTGATGATACAGGAAAGTGTTAAATGGCACAGCACTGGAGGAGGAGGTGACCTCCTCACCTAACAGCAGAGTGCACACAGCTGTGCCTGGAGGGCTGAGCGGACCACACGGATGATAGGTACAGGCACAGCTGGTGGCCACTGGGAGCAGGCCTACGTGGCCAGCAGTAGATGATGGGAGAGACTGGGGTTGGGCTACCAGGAAATGCAAAGAGCCCTGGAAACGAAGTAACCAGAGACCTGGAAGCCAACAGCAGCTTTCTGAACAGGCGGCGTCGCCTGCTGCAGAGAACCGAGGAGCATAGGCACAGGAAGGGCCACACAGGCACAGAGGACCAGGCAGCCAGTGCCAAGGACGCACGGTGCTCACTGTGAAGTCCTCCCTGGGCAGCGGATGCTCAGCTGGAAGAGAAGGCACCAGACACAGCCCCCGTACCCACCATGGGAACAGCGAGGCGCAGTCCACGCCTTCTAGCAGTGTTAGAGCAGCATCCGCACGGCAGACACCACGTGCAACTCACAGGGGAGCACATTCTAGCCGCTCCGCAGACACGGTGCCTCCAGTCTGCAGGTCCCGCAGGCACTGCTACAGGACTACTTTGCAGGAAGAGAGCCACAGAGACATCATGCCCAGGGCCCCATCTGTGAAAGCTGGGATTCCAACCTTACAGACCGCTCTCAATCCATGCTCTTCACCGTCTAACTACACTGCCTGTTGGGCAAAAAAAAAAACAACAACAAAAAAAACTGTGTGTTTGTGCATGTGCGTGTGCGTCTAAAAGAGAAAGGGCAAGAGAAACACGTTATTCATATGGCATTTATTCAGAAATATAGACATAACTGATGTTCTTGTAGCTGACTTACTTTGCAAAAACGGCAGTGAAAAGAGGAAGGAAGAGAAGGCACGGGACAAGTGGGTGAGGGACTTTATGGGACAGTGTGAAGGAATGACACCCGCCGTAAAACACTTTCCAAGTCACCACTGATTTGCGACCACACTGCGGCTAGACCGGGAAATGAAAATGAAGGCTTGCTGGTTACCATTAGACACAGCTCCACCATGTTGTGCCCTGATACCCTAACCACCCACCACTTGCTTCCTTCAGTCTCCATCTGCTGGGACCAGCTGTCCTCAGAGGCCCCTCACACACTTCCAGGCTGAAGAAAGTCTTTATGGGTTTGGGAATCAAACAGAACCTACTTTTATCCCTGACTCTCTTGCTTGGGCCAAGGAGTAGATACATTCAACTCTGGTTCCTTCATTTGTAAAATAGGAACAATGAAATTTCCCTCACAAAAGTTCAAAGGCATAAAGTAATCTTTATAATGGATGAGAAAATGAGGCTCAAAGAGGCTAAGTACTCTACCCAAGGCTACTTACCTCATAGACAGAACAGAAATTCTAACCCAGAATTTTAACTCTGACCCTAATGCTTAAAATCTTTCCACAATTGGCAGCATCTATACTAGTAAAAGGGTAATATGCTAATTACACCGGACATCCATCCAGACATCCTTCTGGACAAAGCCACGGTAGCAGGGGCCAAGTTAGAGGCGGTTAGGGACAATCAGGCTGGCAGGGGAGGGCAGTTAGAAGCGACCAGGCCAGCAGGGGAGGGCAGTTAGGGACAATCAGGCAGGCAGAAGCAGTTAGGGGGGATCAGGAAGGCAGGGGAGCAGTTAGGGGCATCAGGCAGGCAGGTAGAGTGGTTAGGGTTGATCAGGCAGGCAGGATGGCAAGTGGTTAGGAGCCAGTGGTTCCGGATTGTGAGACCAGGCAGTCAGACATGCCCTGAGAGGTCTCAGATTGGAGAGGGTGCAGGCTGGGCTGAAAGAACCCCCTCTTCCCCCCCCCCCCCAACCTCATGCAAGAATTTCATGCACTGGGTCTCTAGTCTCTCATAAAAACAGAGGAAATACTAACCACTCAACTGAAGATCTCATGTATAGTTGGGATTATTAACCAGACTGAGCTCTGGGGTCAGATCGAATGGGGTCATGCCCCAGCTCTACTATCTTCTAACTCTGTGACCTTGAGCAAGTGACTTAATCTTTCTGTGCCTCCATTTTCCTCATCTGCAAAATAAGGATGAAAGTCCTCACCTGTAAGGTGCAGAGGATCAACGTGTCAGTACAATGCCGAGCACTGAGCCTGCACAGGCACCCAGGATGACCTCTTTCCACACTCTTGTAAAGCATGGTGTGCGCCCAGACCAGAGTCACAGCATCCTGAACATGAGGATGGCCAGATGGCCGCTACTGGGAGTCTGGCTTTGGAGGATGACGTTTGTCAAGGACACAAGAGCTAAGAGAGAAGTCCAGTCAGTGAGAAGAGTATGAAAATAACCCAGTGAATAAACGCACTCCAGGTGTGGGGGCAGGCTGAGGAAGGCTGCTGCTCCCCATGCTGCTGCTGCGTGAAGGACAGACAAGGGCCCAGCCACCTCTCACTTCCGTGCTCGGGCAGGTTCCTCTCCAGTTTCCTGGATATGCAGATACAGAAGGAGCCTTTCAGAAGGAAAACTATGGTCTTTCATTGCCATTAGTTCATTCAACAAAGATATCGTGAGCATGGTGCTCACAGTCAGCCAGGTAATGGACACAACAGTGGGAGAAGCAACTCTGTTGCCCACCCCCAGCGAGAGAGATGGACAGGTGCAGTGTCAGCAGTGTGACAAGACAAGTGCTACAAAGAAAGAAAAACAGGACAGCAATAAAGAGCGGAGTGGGCTGGCAGCCGGTGTGATCAGCAGGGCCTCACTGAGACTTTTGCCAAGACACCTGGACGACCAGCACCTTGGGGAGGAGCCTCCAGCTGGGGAGCTCCAGGTGGAGCAGCCACAGCAGGCTCATTTGGCTGTTCAAGGGCAGCGCAAAGGCTGATGAAGCTGGAGCCACTTCACTAGGGCCCGGGACGCCGGGATCTGGGCAGCCATCGGGGACTTGCAGCAGGGCAGTGTCTTGGTCTGATTCGGGTTTTAAAGGGTCACATGGCTGCTGTGTGGGGAAAGTGGCAGGGAAGCATCGCATCATCTAGAGGAGAGATGGCCAGGGCTCAGCACGAAGGCGAAGGCGGTTCTGGGCAGCCCTAGAGGCCCACAGGCATCCCGCCGCGATGACTGCAGGTGGTGTCCTGGTCCAGAGTGGGGACACACAGGCCAGGCGCAGGCATAGGGATGTGTTCAGACTGAGAATCGATCTCCACTCCGGGCCATGGTCTGAGATGGGAGTTCAGAGGTCACCAACGTACAGGACACAGCTCCCGGCTCCATAGCCCCCAGGGAGGGCAGGAGGAAACTAGAGCAGGGGCAGTAGACGGAGCCAGGACTCAGGTTTGCGAAGGCCTTTCTATGGATATACCATCGTAATGCCATACTTAACTTTAAGATCACCGTATAAAAAAGACAGCTGAGAGACAGGTTTCTATTAAACAATTTCCCAAGCAATGCAGTCTTTCCTAAGTCTGGGCAAGCTCAGCAGGGAGCCAGGTAACTAGACCAGGAGGTCCTCACCCTCAGCCCCTCCTCACTCCTGAGCCCTTGCACATCCCTTCCCTCCCTGTGCACACACTTCCAGACAACACCAGCCCCTGTTCCTCCTTCCCCCCAGTAACAGCTCACAGGGGGAGGGCTCTGCCTGCTCAGTGCGCAAACACAGATTTACACGTTTTAAGATATAAGTCAAACTTTTCCAAAAGCCCTTAGATACCTTCCCACCTTCCAATGCTTGAGAAAATGAATCCTCGCAAATAAGACAACTCTGATCCTGGCCTAGACCTCCGTGCCTGCAGCGCCCAGAGGTAAAGCTTCCCAGGTGACAAGCATCCCTGAGGTGCAGACCAGACTGAGCACAGGGTCCTCGGCGCCATGGACCGATCTTCGCAGTAAGTCGGAACCCACCTACACCAGCACCCACGTCCCGCACGTGGAGCAGACACAGCAGTACTGAAGTGAAACAGTAAAAAACATTTAAAAGAAAGAAACAATCCCTGACTTTTACTTGTGGTAAATAAATAATAAAAAACATAAAGCACACGTGTACCAACGTCGAAATGACTTTTTTTACCCGAGGATGTTCCATTGGTTTTTGGAGAGAGCTGAAGGGAAGGGGAGACAGACACATCGACTGGGAAGCATCGCATCATCTAGAGGAGAGATCGTCCCAGACCGGAATGGAGCCCACAAACCAGGTCCAGGCCGGGCCCTCGGCCAAATCAAACCCAGGACCCTTCCGGCCGGGCCGCAGCTCCGCGGCCACGCCGGCCAGGCGCTGCCCTTTCGGTGAGCCCTGGACAAGCACCACAGGCCCCCAGCCGAACCCTCCCGCTGGCTCCGACCCGCTGGCCGGCGCCTCTGCTCCGCCCAGAGCGCAAGGCTGAGCACGCGGAGCAAGGGCACAGCCACGGCCTGCGCCTCCCTCCCGCCCGGCGGGCCCCAGCAGCGCCCCGGGTGGGTCCCGCCGCCACCCCAGTCACTGCCGCCCGCCCCACCCCACGCCGGCCCACCCATCCCTCCAGGAGGCAGGGCCTTTCTTGACCAACCTGGCAGGACGACTGCAACTCCTGCTGCGTCCGCAGCCCACCGCTCAGGCTTAATGCCGGTCCTGGCGGGGGCGGGGGCCGAGGGGGCGGGGAGGAGCCGCCCGCCTGACTGCCCCGCAGGCGCCAACGCGGCCACGTGGAGAAGGAAGCGCCCTTCAGCACCGCGAGCGCGGGGCGGGGCCTGCGCATCACTCCCCTCCGACCAATGAGACCGCCACACGCGGCCCCGCCCCCTCATTACCACGGCCCCGCCCGGCCAGGCGTCGCCCACGCTGCGTGGCGGAAGCCACGGACTTCTCATGGATCCCTGCAGGTGGTCCGGTGCTGCGGACTCCTCTCCGTCTGTGCAGCCCGCGCCCTGATGGCCTGTCCTGTGGATTTAGGTCCTCAGCGCGTAAGGTCAGACCCCTTCACTTTTGCACAAAAGGCAGGAAAGGAGCCAGACACGCAGGCATAGAGATTAGGTAAACTGAGGCAGTGAGCGCCTGTGGCCCTCCCCTCTGGGGGCTGAGTGGCCGGAGGTCATCGTGGGCCCTTGGGTATGGCTGCTGTGCATTGTTGGGCCTGTCACCCTGGTGTGCGGGCCATACCGGCTGCCGGCTCAGTACTGACTCTCAGAAGCACTAGTTACCTTGGGAGCTGGGTTGCACTTTGCAGTTTTGCAAGAAGTCCAGGACCATTGGGCTGAAACACCGTTAGATTTAACACTACACAAAGAATCCCAGGCATTCGGGAATTCTTATCTGAAGCAGGCCTGTATTCATTGTCAATTGCAAAACCACCCACTGTATCGAAGAAATGGGAAAATTCGTCCTGACCTGGAGGGTGGGTTGGAGGGTCCTCCTTTAGATTGCTGGATGGATTCCTAGTCAGGGCACATACCTAGGTGGTGGGTTGAATTCCTCATTAGGGGCATACTGGAAGCAACCAATGTTTCTCTCTCCTCTCTCCTTTCCTCATTCTCAAAATTGGTAAAAACATATCCTTGGATTTAAAAGAGAGAGAGAGAGAAAGAGAGAGAGGGAGGAATGGAGGGAGGGAGGGAGGGAGGAAGAAACAGAAAAATTGACACTGGGTGAGTAGGGCTGGTAAGTTTACACTCAGGAAGTTGAACACGCTCATCTGTCAGGATCCCTGACCTTGGCCCATTTATCTGTCAAATGGAGGGGTTGAGAGCAGGATCTGCAGAGTTCCAGCTTTGTTACTGTTGTGATCCCTGGCAAGTTAATTAACTCTTGTGTATCAATATTCTTAATTATAAAATACAAGCAAAAATAAATTGTGAGGATTAAACCAGGAAACACAAGTAATGAATATAGAAAAGAATAAATGTTAAGTAAGTGTTAAGTTTTGATGTTTGAGTGCTTCCTCTTGTGTCAGGACCTTGATACCCTCAGCATTTTCTGGATCCCATGAACAACACTTCTCTCAAATCTCCCAGGATAACTGGGAAGAAACGACCACGCTGTGAAGGATGCCCAGGCACCATACAGAGAGACCTAGAAGCCTGCCCACAATGTCACTGACCATTGTCACTTTCGATGAAGGAGACAGTTTAAGACAGTTGCTTTCTAAAACATATGCTGATTGTTACTCTTCCTGCTCCTTGAGAAAGTAATGTATGAGGGTTTAGAAAAATGAAAACTGGGAAACATTCAAAATCACAGTTCAACCCTTACAAGGAGTGTCACTTAACCTTGCTAAACCCCAATTGCCTCCTTTATAAAGTGAGGATAATGTCTACTTTACATGGGTGGAGTAAATGTTTAATGAGAGGGAATTGGTGGTAGTGTCTGCAGTACTATAGGCATTCTATAAATCCTAAAAACAAAAAAAAAATAAATAAAATAAAAATAAAGACAGGAAAAGGCTTTTCTTTTTCTTTTCGGTGGCCTTTTATAATTTACTAGTAGCCCAGTGCACAAAATTCATGCACATTAAAAAGGAAATTAATTAAAGGAAATATTTTATTGCTATTTGTCCTTTCTCTATAATAGAAGTGTCAGAGATGAAAGGAAATTAGTAAAATGTATATGAAAATAATGTATAAATTTATTAATAAATAGTAATGAAATGATATAACAACAACAAAGACATGATATAAAAACTAAAACATGATATAAAAACAACAAAAACATGACATAAAAACCACAGGGATGCACGAGGGTGGGGTGAGAAGGGGGGGAAAGGAACATTTGTAATAATATGAACAATAAAAATTTATTAAAAAAAAAAAAACCACAGGGATGCAAACAATGTTATCTACTATCTTCCTATACACCACATTAAGAGTAACAACACTTTCAGCAGGGACCGGTTTGGCTCAGTGGATAGAGCGTGGGCCTACGAACTGAAAGGTCCCGGGTTTGATTCCGGGCAAGCGCATGTACCTTGGTTGCGGGCACATCCCCAGTAGGGGGTGTGCAAGAGGCAGGTGATCGATGATTCTCTCTCATCGATGTTTCTAGCTCTCTATCTCTCTCTTCCTCTCTGTGAAAAATCAATAAAATATATTTTTAAAAAAAGAGTAACAACACTTTCAGAGTGCTTGACTAAGTTCCCTTGGGATGAAGTATTTACAACTTTAACTTTAACACCATATGCTCTTCGAACTCGGACCATGTGTGAAAATGGGTTTGGGTACGAATATTCCTACTCCGTCTAGAGTTTGTCCTTGTGGTTTATTAATAGTCATCACAAATGTTGGCATCAAGGGAAACTGTCATCGAATTAATTTAAATGGGAGGCCAGTGTCAGACAAATCCATTCTTGGAATCAAAACAACCTCTCCTTCAGCAGGTCCTGTTAATACTTCAGCTTTGATAATGCTAGGTGATAGTCTTTTGATAAAAACTCTCTTATCATTACAAAGACCCCATTTACTACTAAGATTTCTCAGTAGCATAATGATTACACCCACTTTCAATTTTAATTTATGACACAGCATTCCCAAAGGAGTAATACTGTTAAGAAATTCAATGGAGCCCTAACTGGTTTGGCTCAGTGGATACAGCATCGGCCTGGGGACTGAAGGATCCCAGGTTTGATTCCGGTCAAGGGCATGTACCTTGGTTGAGGGCACATCCCCAGTGGAGGGTGTGCAGGAGGCAGCTGATCAATGTTTCCCTCTCATTGATGTTTCTAACTCTCTATCCCTCTCTCTTCCTCTCTGTAAAAAAATCAATGAAATATATATTTTTTTAAGAAATTCTATGGGAAAATTTTCCTTTTTGGCAACATCTGTTGAATCAATAAAATCATCACTCAAATATGTGTGAAAATCTCCATTGAGTGTATCCAAAATTTCTTCATTTAATTTTTGAACGTGCTCATTTTTTGGACAAAGAATCGCACGTTTAGATATATTTGTAATATTATCTATAGATATACTATTTCTAAAGGTAGCTTCAATAGTAATCCATTTGTAATCCATTACAAATCATTTCACAGGGAGTTTCAATAATATCCATTCCTAAATGAAAACTGCTATCCAGTTTTCTATCTCCAAGTTTTACTAACCATTCACTTTAAGCAGAATCCTCTGATTTCATATTTGTTTTAAGAGACAATTTTCTGAAACATCCCCAAACAGTGCGGTACTTTAAACTCGCCTGTAGTATGGCTGATCACATAGCAGTGGCACAACATGGAGACATTGTAGAAAATCCCCTCCAAGAAGGAGAACTTTCCCACCAAATACAACGTTCAAATTCGTAATTTCTCATAGTAATCTATCTGTGGCGTTTATAGCATGACTGGATGCCACAGAGCATTCATCAATAATGAGAAGTCGGGCCTTTTTAATGGTTTTAGCAACTTCACTGTTTATATCAGGTCTAGAAATTGAAGTTTCATTTATGGAATTAGTAATTTATATTGGGAATGAAAGGTTCTTCCACTGAGAGGTAAATTTTCAGCAATTCTTGTGGATGCTGAAAAATTTGTACCACCTTTACTGGCCTCCAGTAAAGCAGTACCACCACGACCTCTAATATAATGTATTAAAACTTTATAAAGGTATGTTTTCCACTACCACCTGGACCATACAAGAAAAAGCAATTGGGATGTACAGTTGGATCTTCGATGGCGGAAGTTACAGTCTGAAAGGCAGCTTCACCTCAGGGCTGGGTGGAGACACAGGCAGGCAGCTTCACCTCAGGGCTGGGCGGGACAAAG